ATTTGTAGACTTGCTTTTTATGCATGAATTTAATGATGTGTCCGTTTCCAAATCTAAAAACTTCCTTCTTCAGGATTTCTTTTTTGTGTGAAATGGTCTACATTGTCTAAGTCAAATTGCATTTATATGTCAATGAAGTAAGGGATTTAATAGGAGGGTGTGTGGATTTTGAATAGGTGATTTAGCTGTGTGTGTGGATGCATATTTACAGATGCATAGAATTATTATCATTAATATTGACCTCTGAAATTTAAAGTGAGTCTTTTTAAATAGGAAGTTCATAAAGCAAGATTAGCACATTATTTGGATAATGTTTCTCCTTGGAAATCAGAATGTGATGATGGTAATGCTGAAGAGATATTTATAAACATTAAAAAAACTCTGCAACAGATAAAGGTAGGAAAATTGTGTTTTTAAAAATATTTATGATAATAGAAATAATTTTAAAGAATGAAAAAATTCACTGTTTTTTTCTTTTCTTTTTAGGACAAAGAATATATTATTCATTGGTGTCTTAATGCAACTATGCCTTCATTACAATTGACAGATCAGTTATTAAGATTTGCCAAAGACACAGTAAGTAGTTGTCTTATTTTAATTATATTTATTACTAGCAGACCCCGCCCTGCATTGTTGTGGCTTAAAATGTATCTATTATAAATGTATAGCACTTCCCCCATGGGGAAATTTTTCGAAAAATTCCTTTTTAGTGTACATTCTCTTGATGTACCCTATTAAAACGCAAAAACCCGCATCTAAAATAGTATAATAGAAGCCAAGTTCTTCACGGTAAGCCTTAATCCTGTCCATCTCTTCCCCTGGTGGGGGGAATTTCAACATGTATATGATATAAAAACACATGCATATTCGAATGCAATGTTGTGTCAAAATTTCAAAGGAATCGGCAGAAACAAACAAACATTACATTTTTATTTATATAGATAGATAGATGATGATCTGCTTTAGTTCATCCTTACAGAAAAGCATAATGCCTCACAGAAAAGTAAACTTAGGTTGTCATACTCGCAGAGTTAGTGCCATCTGTTGGACATAAAAGCCTTAATCCTAGATGATATCTTTTAATTTATATGAATGTTTAATGGAATAATATACAGCCTATGTCCACCCTGAAGTTCCATTCTAAATATTGGTGAAAGAATTTTTGAAATCGGATGAGTAGTTTTGGAGATTACCTGCTGCATCAAAACTTACAAACTTTACCTCTTTATAATAATAGTATAGATTCTCATGCTGTCATCCAGATTTTTCTAATATTTGGATCACTCCTGCCCACATTAGTTCAGATAGTGGAGTCTACTGTACTGTATTTTGAGAAAAATTAATACTGTACTCACATAATTGATTTAATGGGATATGCCGCAGTGTTTCTCAACCTCTAACGAATCGTCGCCCCCTTCACTTCAAAATTCCAATGTCAAGGGCCATAGCTAATGCCAAATTCATACTGCATTGAATAGACTAGTCCAGGCATGGCCAACATACGGCCCGCAATCAATCTTTCAAAATAGCTCGATGAAAAATTCTGATGCCTAAAAAAAAAACAGGTCAACACTCACTGTGCGTTTAGAGTTAACCCTCCATTACAAATCTCTTAACTCAGCGTAGAGTGTTGATAAAGCATGATAATGTGAGAAATGTATCTGTAATCTCTATCTACAATTCAGTCTCTACGGGGTGACACCATAATGAGATCTCGCATCACCTCAAAATCTTCCTAGGGCAACCTCTGGTTCCGCCTGTGGAAAAAGTTTCTTTCCAATCTGGCCCAGGGGCAAAAACTATTGGCTACCGCTGGACTAGTGCCTANAAGAAGAATTCACATTTATTATTGAACAAAAAAATTCCCAAGTCGAACTTAGACGAGAGTGACGTATATCCGGTGTGTCGAACTGTCGCCTTTTTATAGCGTCAACATCGGACTCGCTGACCAATTAGTGCTTACTGAACCGTAGCACTATGCAAATGTCATGTGGTTTATCAACCTTCTTGGCCCCCGAAATGTTTGGTGAAGAAAATATGGCCCGCGGGCTATGATAAGTTGGACAGCGCTGATGTAATAAAATCACAATACAGAACTGCAGCTCTGTGCATTTTGCAAAACCTACACTTAGGCTCTCACTGAACTCTTGCTTGCCCATCCCTGATATATATAAATACAAACATACAATTTAAAATTAGCATGGTTATAGTAATTTGATTTAAATTATTACATTAATCTAAAATATATTAAATATATTCAAGAATTTTTATGTCAGAAATTAAATTCTGTCAGACATTTATATTGATTGCTCCTTATCTGATGTCAATTATGTCTTTGTTTTAAGTCTTGTGATAAAAGTTTTTTCCAGTTATTATTATTATAATAATTTATGTTATTGTTTGATAAAAATTCTCTCTCCTTTCTTTTTTTCTTTTTTATTTTTTTTTCCATAACAAATCAACTTGCTATCATAAACAGTCTACAAATACAAAGTTATGTTATGATTTCATATATATGAAGTCATAACTGTAATGTTAATGAAAATACTTTTAAGTATTTTAAAGAAAAACAAACAATAAGAACATATTTTTGTAAATTTTAGTTCTGTGATTCCATTGAAAGTCTTGAAGTATGACCTAACTTTTGGATTAGATTTTACTTGAAGAAATTAGATTGTGCATGTGTATATAAAAGTTTAGTAAATTGTCACAATATTTTGTGATTCTTTTCTGTTTATTCTAAAATTTTTAATATAATAGTTAGGGGTTGCTCTGGAAAATTTCAAAATATTGCTAACCATTTGCCAGTTTAAAATTTTTTTTGCTACTTTAAATTATTTATTGCCACCAGTTTTACTTACTAATTAATGCAGATGCTGGTAGCCTTATCAGTTGGTGTCTGGAAAGCGAAAGTAACATGTTAAGCTGTTACTTACAAGAAGATCAGACATTTGGGTCTCTGATTCAAGTGAGACCTGGTGAGCACATAGTCTTAAACACAAACAGTTCCTTGTCCAAATAATAGGACCCACTTCTCAAGCATTTCCCAAAAATGGGCCTCTGAAAATTTAGTGTTTAGCTTATAAGTTATTAAAAAGTTTCATCTTTCTGAGCAGTGATAGCTGAGTGGATAAAAGACTCTATGCACTTGAGCTAGATGATATAAGTTCAAACCTTCAAAATTTTAGTTTTTTTTTTTAATGTGTAACTTTATTATTTTACAATATCATTAACATTATTATTACTATTATTATTCCTCATATTTAAAACTTATAAAACAAGAGATTAAAAATTGTGACATCATTACTCTTTTAGTGAAAACAAATCTCTGTAGATTTAACTCTTTTATGTTGTTAAATAAAATTTTTATTTTTTCATGTTTATTTTAAGATATGGTAGTATTGTGATATTTGAAGTGTAACAATGTGAGCACTTGAGGAAATTATTTATAGTATTAGCAATTTAAAAAATAAAATACTATGACCACACTACCCTATTTTCATATTACTTGTCTTTTTCATCTGAAGCTTACTTACTTGTAAAGACATAGTATGTAAAATATGTGAAAAAAAATGTTAAGACTTTTATTTCTTCATGGCATAAAAGAGTTAAATCTGTAGAGGCTTGTTTTCACTAAACAGGAAATGGTATCACAATTTTTAATCTCTTGTTTATAAGCTTTAAACATGAGGAATAATAATACTAATAATAATGCAATAAAATAATAATGTTACACATAAAAAAAAAGAACAACTAAACTAAAATTCCGAACATCAAACTATATCATCTAGCTCCAGTGCATAGTGTTTTATCTATCAGCTATGGTCACTCAGAAACACTAAATTTTTATAATTTCTATTTTGGGAAACACTTGAGAAGTGGCTCCTATTATTTGGACAAAGAGCTGTTTGTGTTTAAGGCTATGTGCTCACCAAGTTTCATTCAAATTCAATACATGAATGTCTGGCTTTCTCTTTGTTAGCAATAGGAATCATTTTTATTTATTTTTACACAATTAGGAAATGTCTGACAGCAAAATATATCCATCCCTTATTTAACAAAAACCCCAAAAATATAGTGTAATAAAAACCAAGAAAAATAACAAAAAAAAAAAATGTATAAATAAATATAAATTATAAATAGCACATTTTGTTAAAAAATAAAAAATTGCCAGGACAAATTATGACATTTATAGAAAATATATTTCGTTTTGACTATTCATACATAGATGAGTCTTTGTCAATTTTCTGTCCTTTCACACGCTGTACGAGGCAATAACAATACATAGAAAGGTCAACTTCACCGGTGGAATTTTTATTGCCTTGTACAGCGTGTGAAGGGACAGAAAATTGACAAAGACTCATCTATGTATGTATGTATAGTCAAAACAAAATATATTTTCATTTGGTATACATACATAGTATGGAATTATAGTATGGAGGCACTTTGATCTAAACAAACGAGTTAACATATACATATCACAGTTTGAACGGAATTTACACTTCAAATTTTGAACTAATTGAATTTCTTAACATGTGAATCTCTATATCCCCAGCTGGGACAAAGATAGTTACAAACTAACAGGATTTTGAATTATCTAAGTTTGAATTAACAAGGATTTCCTGTAGTAGTTTTCAGCCAAATGACAATTTTGATTTTATTTGACTTTTGATATTTCTTTTATAAATATAATATTATTTTAATTTTATTATGTTTATTTTGGTTTAGTATGTTTGGTTTTATTAGTGCAAAATTTGTAAAATCATCCTTTAAATTGAATAGATAAAAATAATTCATATATATTGCTTAGATCTGTTGTTTAATCCTCTTGTTTCTATAATGATATATTTTATTATTTTAATTAATTAAATAAGTATAATAATTATCATTTCAGGATTTAATAATGTTTTTAATTTGAATTTTAAAGATAAAGCAAAAGATTTAACAAACTTGTAAAAGTACAAACATTCCTAAATAAATTAAATATTACATATTTATAAATTAATGATATAATTTAAGAAAAAATTGCATTTTTATTTTAGGACATTTTGGTTTAAATTTGTCAGAGTAAGTTTGATGACAGAATTCCTCTCTCTGATTAATACAAACAGAATTGATAAAGCATTCTTTTTATGGGAAAGGCATCAGGTTAGAATCAAAATCTTAATTTTAAGCTTTATTTCAAATTTTGAGATATTAGAATTATTTACTGACTGAAAATATACTTAAAATAATAATTAAATATTTTTTATATCAATATTTTTTTTTGTATAATTAGGATGAAATCGGTTGTTTCTTGAATGACAATAATATTAAGAAAATTTTGCAATGCATACCCTCATCTTTGCCTTCTATTCATCTGATGAAATGGTTTGAAGAGTCATTTATCCCTAATGTTTATCATAACTCAAACGAAAATCTGGTTTGATTTCATTTTAGTATTGTTATTTAGAATAAAAGATATTAATGTACAATTAATGAAATTTATTTTCTGTTGCAGGAAATAATAGCCAAGTGGTTAATAGAAAGAGTGCATATGATGGAAATCACAGAAAATGTAACTTATATATTATATTTAATTATTTAATTTTATATAATTTTTTCTACCTTGACAAGTTAATTTTGAATATACTAAGTTTAACCCTCTTTTAAAATATTTAAATTTTTTTAAAAAGAATTAGAATCAGTGTTCAAAATACAATATAGAAAAATAATTAAGATGGTTTAGTTTTTAAAAATTAAACATTTTGTTAATTTTTTTCTCCATTTTATTATAATTTGTTTTTACAAATCAAGTGATTTTGTGTGGTAATTACTGTATTTTATGGTAGTCTTTTTGAAATTCCTTCTGTTAAACTGACAAAATAAAAAGTTAAAGTACTAATTAATTTAAGGAATCATTAATATTAAAAATACTAGTTTGTATGTTAGATATACATATATATACATATGCATATACAAATGGAGATAAGATAAACAAGGGATTAATAAGAATTTATTGAATTTATTATTTAATAAAAAAATTTGACTGGCAGTTGATTATTTTTATCAAAGCATGAAATAATAGTTCATATAGATAAAGATATGGTAAATTTGTCGGTACTCTTGACGCAAACAAATTTGGTCCACTAGAGGGGGGACCTTCCCAAAGAGAACAAAATGTTTTATTGCCCTTTGTCTTCTCTTGTTCTTTCTTCTGACTGTGATCTGTCACCATATACGGATGTTTGTCCTTCTATTATGTACATACTTATTTGTGTATCACTTTTTGATTAAACGAAGATACTTTAACCACTGCAATGTGTATCATCTGTTTGTCTCTTTAGTGATTCCTGATTAACAACATTAAAGTGAATAAACATTAATATATTTTATAATATAATATAAAATTTTTGTATTTTACAGATTAGTTGTTGTATTAAAATATAAAAAAGTACTTGTTACAAAAGTTGGAGTCAGTTAGTTGTCAATAATTTATTTATTGAATTGTTGTGTAAAATTACACTGTAATTTATAATATAAATTGAGGAATTCTGAAAGATAAACAATTTTAAAAAATATCTGAAATATTTATGTAAGCAGCAAATCTAGCAAAGAACATATATAATTAACAAAATTTATTAAGGATAGATATTCACAAAATAAAAACTAAATACTTACAGAATTTTATAATAGTTATCAATTTTCAAAAAAATACATTTTAAGTAATTTAATAAATACAAGATGTGATGTAAAAGTAATAGGAGTAGGCCAATGAAAATTCAGTGGTGTTTTATGTTTTGGTGACCCTCAAAACAATTCATTTCCCTTGAAAGCAAAGTACCTGTACCAGCATTGTTTGTATACTTAAAAGAAAGATTGAAAGTCTTCTTTTGAGAACTCCTTAATGACATTGGTTACAGCTGATTGAATGTTTTCTGATTTCTCAAAATGATGACCTTTCATCTTGAGTTTCACTGGAAAATAGTCTCAGAATGAGAGTTCTAATGAATAAAGAAATTGTGGAAGAATAAGAATGTCCTTAGAAATGAAGTACAGTAGAACCTCGATTATCCGGACTAATTGGGGATGAAAGTAGTCCGGATAAGGAAAAATCCGGATAATCAAAACAAATACTATAATTTGTCTTTTAATGATAATACAACACATTTTCTTTTCGATGACATATCAGTAATACTAAAATGATCATGATCAAATTTTCAAGAAACAAACGTTCGTATTGAATTTGGACTACTACTGACCAACACTAACAGACTACCTATTGTTTAAAAGGCCCTCTGGTGGCGCAAGAAGACGGATTTTATAAAATAAAAAGCAGTTGAAACTGCATTTTTATGAATAAAAATTTGACAAACTATTTATTGTTTTATGACGAGTAAAATTTTTTCGTCGCGTTCGCGGCTTTTAAGTAATGCATAAACCTTCGAGGCGCGAGGCCCTTCGGACCGCGAGGCATAGGCGGTGGCCCACGTCGTCCATGCCTTACGCCGCCCTTGGTCATAGAAATGATGTAATTTGAATATAAATTATTTATAAATACGTATGTCAAGTTATATTTTTATTACTACGTAAAATATATTTAAGAGTTTACGACCACTGTGCTGGATGAGACGTTGTTGAAACAAAAAAGTTATGCTTTCCATCACGTACATAAACTGTCGTAATTCGCCAATTGCAAATCAGCAAATTCGTAAAATTTTTGTTTATTTTGAACAATCCGGATAATGGAGGTTCTACTGTATTTGTGAATTATCAATAACATTGATGAATACAAAGAGCATTATTTTGAAGAATCTAATTATTTACAACTACTCACATGATTGTTTTCATAATATAATTGATTAAGTGTACTCAGGTAGTACAAACTCCATATGGACTATATCATGCAGATAAAAAAAATTATTACAATTGTTGTTATTTTTGTTTTCAATTTGATCATGTGTGCCATCTATGTTTCAGAGTTGAGAATGTATTACTCTTCACTTTGTCTGTTTGCTTCTGGATCATACTCAAAGAACTAGTTCTCATCAGTTATTCTGTCAGAAAATTTGGTTCAGATTTTTTGTTTGTAGTGTTCAAACACAATGCATTGCTGGTTTAATGACAATAAAATCTGAGATATATTAAGTGTACAGAATTAAAATTCATACAGAATAATGAAGAAAGATTATGCTATTGACTGACAAGTTAGCAGTTTTGTAGTATTGTCAGTTCATGCATTGTAGAATTAATCTTATTACTTTTATATCATGTCGTGTACATTCAAAAACAATATTATATCCAAGTTTACTATATGTTGTTACATTTTATTTAAATATTTTAATCACATTATATGTAATGTTGGAATTACTACAACAGTAACTTAAATTTACTTAAATAACATTAAGTTATCTGTTAAATATTTTAGTCATAATTACTAATAAGTTCTGAAATTTTTTATTTATAGATTCAAAATAAATAAACAATGTAAAATTAGGATAAATTTATTTAAAATATTTTGAATATTTGGAAAGTTCAGAAATTCATATAAGTAAAAATTGATTTTGACAAAAGAAAAAAACTTGATTTATTATTCAAAGCAATATTTTATTTCAAACTTTTAAGGTTTGTTTTGCAGTTTGACACTCACTTAATTAAAATAATAATTCAAAGAAGTATTTGTTATTATTTTAGTTTAGTTCAATGCTTTTATCAGTTTTTGATTTTTTAAAAATAAAAATATGAAACAAAACAATTAGTTTATTTTGTAAAATTCTGGTAAAAATTTTTACATATTATCCAAATGTAAAAATCTTATTTTATTCATTTTTTGCAGTCAACGTGGCCACTTAATGGAATAACTTTGTTAAAAACATTACCTACAACTTGTGATAATTTATCAAAGATATATAATAAAGGTGGTTTTGGAATTTCAACCAAATTACATTTTCATATTTTACAAGTAAGTATATATTTTACAACTAGAATACACATTACAGATATAGTTTTTGTTTTGATAATTTTTATTATAGATTTAACATATATATAATATACACACTTTTTTTATAGCAAAAAATAGTTGACCCCACTTCAAGTATTCATCATTTAATAAATTTGATTGATGATTTACAGAAGATATATAATTTAAAAATGCAGTATAGATGTTATATATCTCTAAGTGAATTTTTATCAGTAAGTAGTTTATTTTTCTACTTAAATTACAATAATCTGTGCTGTTTAATTTGAAAGTTAAGAAAATGTAAAAGTAAATATTATACAGGGTAGTTATAAATTATTGAGAACATTTTGGGAATGAATAAAAAAAGAACACAGTAAAGTATTCACATGCATACTGTTTTATTTAATGGGCCATTAAATAAAATATTTTACACTTTACATAAATTCCATCTGAGTTCCTTGTGTAGCATACAAAATATCCAGGCAGCATTTAATTTTGCACCATGTGTTCGAACATTTCAGCAGTTATTTCTCCAATGACTTCACTAATTCATCTTTTCATTTTTTCAATGTTGTAAACTTTTGTTGTGTACGTCCAGTCTTTGACAAACCCCCAAATAAAGAAATTTAGTGGTGTAGTGTTGGCGAATTGAGGTGGCCCATGAAATTGGTCCTCTGCAGCCAATCCAACATAGAGGAAATTTTTCTTGTAGGTAGTCCCGAACAATTATACTCCAGTGTAAAGTGTCTCACCTTGCTGGAAGCAAATGTTCAGTTGTCAGTATTCAATTTATGGTATCATGTGCATATAATAACAAAATTTCAAAAATGCTTATCAGATTGTGTTTCAGCACTTTTTCTGCCATCTTAAAATTTTAGTTTTTGTTTGTTTGTTTACGGCAACGCAACATGTGGGTGATCTGCCTAGGGGAGGAGGCCTTCTGGGAGGAAAACTGGCCCCTATTCAAGCATCGTTGACATGGAGAAAACCCAGCAAATTCCACTCTGCCAGCCTGTCCAAGCGCAACGCGAACCCACAACCAAACTCCCAGTGTTTAGGGTCTAGTCCACTCAAGTGCGGGGACAAAGACCACTCGGCCACTGGTGGGCCTTTTTTGTTTTTGTTGAATTGTAGTGTGAAAACCAAGGAGTAGAGTGGTGAGCTCCCAAACCCCACTTTAACAGTGATGGGATAATGAATCCTGTTCAGTGTCAGTGGATGGTGTGAAATTTGATGAGTGGGAGTGTTAGCAATTAAAAATATAAATTTAAAAAATTGGAACTGGTGGATCTTACGATGTCTTCAGGTTTTTCTTATTGTTTCATTCGGGAATTCTGGCCTTTTTATCCATTGGAAGAAACACTGTTAAATGTAGATTTTCTGGTATTTCCTCTGGTGATAAATTATTGCAAAAAGTTTTTTGATTAAGTTTCCAGGGAGAATACCAGAAAATCGACATTTAATAGCACTTTCTTCCAGTGGATATAAAGGTTGGAATTCCCAAATGGAACAGGATGGAAAACCTGAATAAGTCGTAAGGTCCACCAGTTCCAATTTTTTAAATTTATATTTTTATTGGATAATTATTTTGGTGTTTTTAAGGAATGTTTTAAACTGGACAGCCGAGTAGCCTATAAAGGAAGGTCTAGTTGTCTAAAGTTTTATTCTATAACACGTAATAAAATGGTGGTTTTCAAAAGAATTTTTGGAACGACTGTGTCTTTATTTACAAACAAAAAAAAAAATTTAATATAGCTAAAACGTACAAAGAGAAATCAATGGAACAATACATTTGATTGATATGTAACAATACTACATTGTTACAATAATCCAACACTAACGGAAGTCCCGTTTTGAAGTAACCAGATCAAAGTAATTCTCATACCTAATTAGTTCCATTAACGCAAGTCTAACTTACAATCTAAATTTAACTGAGAGAGAGAGATAGTTTACATAAACCTTCAAGTAAATACCTCTATGTTTTCTTGATAGCACGATGAAGTCCCGAACAGTTTCAAGGCTGGGGAGTAGAGGTCCGAAGCGGTGTTGTTGGGCAGGAGGTTTCTTTAGATGATTGCCCTGAGGATCGGGTGTGATCCCTATTTATACATGCCCTGCATGAGAACAGTCAGGTGAAATTTTGATTTAATGCCTTCTAAGTTCGATTTGGGTTTGGGATTTGCTGATACGGGCTGTCAGGAATCAGATGTTTCCACGAATTATTGACACCTTCTGTCTGGTATTGTTACTCATCTTACCTCATAATTTCGTTTGACAGTTTGTTATCATGATTAATTGCTTGGTTTGACAAGGTTGTAACCTAAGTCCTATCATCATAATAATCATTGATTTGGAGGGATATTTGAGCAGGTTTTATCTGTTAAAGAATCATGAGATAAAAGATGTGTGAGTTTTTCCACTATGTCATCATTTTCTTGTTTGGTCTTTTGATCACCTCTTTCTCAGATAGAATACTAGAATCTTTTATTACTTAAATATTTAATTATGACTTTAAACCTTTAATTAACGTCGATCAAACAAAGGTGGAAGGTGACGGGGTCGAAATCTTACAGTAGTAATATGAAATTCTCTCTCTGATTAAAACTGAAATATTTCATATTGTGAAGTATGTTTTGTAGTAGTAAAAATATTTTAATTTTCTGAAGATTTCTTAGTGAAATTGATTTACAAATATGCATAATGAAAAATTAAATTTTATCATAGCTAACAAAAATAATCATTTTAAAAAAATAATTATAAAGATTATTTATTTGCACACACAAAACTTTCTTCTAATTAAAATTTATATTAAAGATAGTGCACATTATAATATTTTTTCATGTTTTATTCATAAATTTAAATACAGTAGAGCATTGATTATCCGAATCAATTGGGGACTGGGGTTGTTCGGAAAATTGATTTTTCAGATAACTGATTATGTACAAAAAAATATACAGTAGAGCGTCATTTATCCGAAAGCCAGTCAACTGAAACGTCAGTTAACCGAAAGTGTTCCAGTTGGCAAATTTTAATTTCCGCTAGTGCTGTGGTGCTGCAACCTTTGGCTATGTCTTGGGCTACTCCAATATTTTTTTTGTTGGTGTATGTGTTTTAGCTGGCAGCACTGGCACTTTTGTGTAGTGTTTTTCTGATGACTGTGTGTCGTGCTGAATCAAACGTTTTTGATACTAGATTAACTTCTAAAGTATTTGATTTTTTTTTTGTTTATATATTTTTCAATATGTTTATTTTGTTTGTAATAAAGAATTAAATTAATGTAACAAAATAAAGAAAGAATTTCTTTATTTTGTTACATTAATTTAATTCTTTTTTTGAACAAACAAAATAAAGAAAGAATTTTTAACAATACAATAGCCATTATTATTATTATAAAAATTTTCATTAGGCTTAACATCGATGTAAATTCAACACAAAGCAACATGCAACAGAGAAAAATTTTAACATGGGATAGGTTAATATATTTTTTCGTACATAATCGGTTATCCAAAAATTAAGTTATCCGAACAACCCAGTTCCCAATTGATTCGGATAAACGACACTCTACTGTATTAACCTATCCCAGGTTGAAATTTGTTCAGATCTTGGCACGTCCTTAAGTACCTTCTCATGGTTGCGCCAGTGCTGCCAGCTAAAACATGCACACCAACAAAAATAATATTGGAGTAGCTCAAGACATAGCCAAAGATTGCAACACCTCAGCATTAGTGGAAATTTAAATTTGCCAACTGGAAAGCTTTTGGTTAACTGACGTTTCAGTTGATTGATATTTGGATAATCAATGCTCTACTGTATTTTATTGAAGAACTATCTGAACTTTTTTTGAAAGGAAACATAATATATAAATTGTTTTTACAGTATCATCCATTTTGAATATCAAGAAATCTCTTTTACTTTTTTAATAATTAAAAGCATTTTAAAAATTTCAAAGTTTAGTTTAGTTCTTTTTCTTCTTGAAATAAATGTTTATTTTGTAGAATAAAATTAAATAAATATTTTAAAATATGTTAGTTCAGAAATAAAAAAGCAAAAATTCAATTATTGGAGAGAAATAATTAAAGTTTAGCAAAAATTTAAAGGATTATTTTATGATTTGGAATAAAATGTAATTACACTAAATTTTTAAATTCATTGAAATATAAATGCACAATAATACAATATTTTAAATATGAGATGATTATTAAAAATTATAATACAATGCTAACTATAAATATATAGAAATATATAAATGAATGTAATTTAAATAATTTTTTCAGGAAGACAAAGAGAATGTAGTCTTCCTTATTTTGGATAGACTCCTGGGAGAAGAAACAATAAAGAAAGCAATAAATGATTTTCTTTATCCTTACATGAAAGAAAATTGTTTAGAAGAAGCAATATTTGTAAAATATATTCAGGTGCTCACTATTTTATTTATTAAAATTGTATTTAATTTTATATTTTGGATAAGAAATTTGATCTAATAAAAATTATTTTTTCAGGATGTTCTTCAGTTTTCTCAATTTAGTTGGTGGTATTGGGAAGAAGCACCATGGGAAGAAAAAATAATATCAATAATAACTTGTATTCAAAATGAAGATTGTAAACTGGATGCAATAATTCGGACTCTTTCTCAAGCTCCACTACCATGGAGCCTAGGAATTCAAAAAATATATGAAGAGGGACTTTCTACATCCTGTTATAGGTAATTCATATAAATTTATTGCATGTGAATGTATGCACGTATACATATTGTTGTCAGTGGTATAAAACATAAAATAATATGAACATCTATTCACTTACACTAATGGCCAAAAAAATATGACAATAGTGTCTTTGGCCAAACACATTAAACATTTGTCTTTCACCAGACATTGTTCTTTTCGGGAGAGTATTGTTGAAAATGAACAGACATCGATGTGAATGATAGTCAGTCATTGGTCATTGTTGAATATCAATATGGCAATTTTTTTAAAGATTATTACAGATCTGTGAATAAGGATGTTTAGTTAGTTACATAACATAAGCATATACAATATATTGATTTTTTGAGGACTTCCTGGATACCTGGATTATTTTAAAAAATGAATGAATTTAAGTTTAAGTAGGATATAAACTCTATTGTAGGGCATATATTACTTTTTTACCTCTCAGATAAAATGCTGTAATGGTATAGGCCTACAGGATAAAGTCTAATATATATTAACTTAATCATATTTATTCAAACAACTGGGACTTGAATTACACTTTGAATTGCAGTATCATCTGTCTGCTGCTCAATAAGAAAATTTTTTTTTGTCTCACAGTTGTTCAATTTTTTTTACATATTTATCAGAGCTCAAATTAAACTGATTTTTTTTCCTCTTCTCTCAATAATTTGTAAAATTCAATACAAAACTTTTCTTCTGTTTTTTCACTACTATAATCTAAACTTTAAAGAACAGAACAGGAACTAAAATAACAAAAACACAAAATAAAGTTAGGTTACATGGAGTGTGGTGGCTGCTGTGACAGTTCACAACATTACCCAAGCAGCACTGGGACATTATTTTAACATGTTGCTAATATTGTTCATTAGAGCAGTGATTGATGTCCCTGTTCTGTCTGTTCATATCATTGCCCAATACAATGTGCAGATGTCACAAATGATTGGCTATTTTCATGATTTCATATACTCATGTCATTGACCATGACATGTATGTATTGAAATTATTACAAAAAATTGCTTTTAGCCCTTGGTAAAATTAAATAAAATATCTACTGTATTCACTGGTGTTTATAAGCCCTTACTATTATCTGCCTCATGTTTGTAGATATTTTATTTAATTTAACATGTATGTATGTTAGGTTTAAAGATCAAAAACACTGAGAGTAAGAGGGAAAATGAGTAGAGTAGATTGTGGCTTTACAGAAACAGCTTTGACAAGAAAATTTGTGTCCTTGCTCTTAAAAAGAGCTGAAACACATTCTGGCTTTTTAATGAATGCCACAATGCAAAATTTGTGGTGAAACTGTTAAAAGAGATGATTACGTGTTCTAGCATTTTAACATATCAAAATGTATCATTGAAGAAACATGAGACATTTTCATTACACAAGCATACAACAATCTGCCATCTTAACCTCATTGAGGAAGAAAACTGGAGCCAATTATAAATTGGTTCCACTTTTCTTCCTCGATGAAGTTAAGATGGCCAAAAAATAATTGAACTTAGCCATTGTTCTTAATTATTATACATATTTAGTCATATATTCTGAGCTCTTTATTTGCTGCTTTAAAATAAACAGAAAATACCTATGATATGCTGATAATGCTGAAATGTGTTATGGTCATTTTTTTAATACTCTTAACACAAATTCACATTATTGCATTTTTTAAATGTCAGATTTTGTGGCTCTTTGCAAGCATCCAGGATGCAAAATTCCTTGTGGTGGCTGTTTCTGTAAAGCCATAATATGTTTGGTCATTTTTTTTACTCATTGAGTGCTTTCTATCTTTGAGCCTAATGCATATCATATGTATCTGATACATGTGTCATGTTTTTGTAGATACAGTATTTGTGTGTGTGTGTATTTCATTTCACATTCTTTACTATTTTAATATTCTTTCAGAAATAAAGAATTGAAAATACAAAAGCAATTAGTACAGTTGAAAACAGTTTTAATTAAATATGAATTAAGAAATTATAATTTCAATGAACCACATGGTGCTCAAGTAAGATTATTATTATTTAATTAAAAATATATAATTTATTTAATAAATCTATCAAATATATCTAGAAAGCAAATATTATAAGCAGATATAGACAAAATATTTTTCAAATACATTTTTGTAATTTAAAATTAAGACTTACTTTTGTTACTGAACTATTTTAATGTTACATTTGTTTCTAAATTTTAATAAATGACTGTCTAAGAAAAATTTAAGTAAAGTTACAAATGGACACACTATCATTCTTTTTCATAATTATTTATATTTGAAAATAATAAAAGTGAAGCATGCATGCTGTACTCTTAATTTAAAATATGATGGTCTTAAAATGTTAAATTATAAATATGCTTCAAATATGTATTTGATTGTTAAATATTTTAAAAGCAATTATTTTTTTTATTGACATACTTTATACAGATATCCTGACTTTTGGACTTCATGTATTTCTAATAATGAGTATGAAAGTACAATACAGTTTCAATATAAAATAGAACTTTGTTATAAAGATAGTTACACTCTGATTGCTAAAATGAAAATGACAAAATTTTCTCTTAGATAGACTGTTTTTACTTTTTTACACAGTGAATATTTTATAATACATAAAATACTGTATTATTATTTAAAATGCTAAAATTGTATATTAAACACAAAACACTTAATAAAAATCAATTTTCTCAAATGATTTTAATGTTACTAAAACTATAGAATGTTACGAATGTAGCATTACCAAAACTATAGAAGTGCCACTGCAAAACAGCTTGCAATTTTTGTTTGTCAACAAAAAATGTACAAAAGTCTGAATTTGACATGTGAAAAGTGATTTAGAGATATAAACATTTATAAAAGAATGAATTGTCTGAAAGTTGAAGACTGCCTGTATGTATTTGCATTTAAATTTTTATTTTCAAAGAATTTTTTAAATCTTTTTCTTATTATAATAGTCTATTATAGCCATTTCAGTTCTTTACTGTAATGGCCTTGTGGCAATTTTGACTAGTGAGTTCTTGTTATGATCTTGTTTGGTTTTCATTTCCATGGATATGGTAGTTAATTTTGTTGTTAAGATGGCATTTTCAGATATGTTGTTGTTAATTTTTTTTATCATATCTGAAGTATTTAGTTGCTAAATATTGCTTTTAATATATATATATATATATTTATTTATTTATTTATTTAAATTTATTATAAATATAAATGC